TGTCACTGATGTGCAAAAGACTCAGATTTTTTAATATTGTTGTAAATGTGAAATGTTAGATGATATAGTTGATAGATAAGTGAGGAGTAGGTATAGTAAATTAGTGACTAAGCCTGAGAGGGAATGGGAACAGAAGAGGGGATGAGAGAGCAATCCCAGAGCAAAATGGGAGTGAGAATACAGGAGAAGGCAGATAAAGAGACTTTTTACTTGGGTGGGGAGTACAGGTGACAGGGATGGGCAAAGCCATCCAAGCAAGAATCCTGGTAAACACAGCTGAGGAGAAGGGTGCTAGGTCTCACTGGAAGAAGATAGGCATGGATTATAGTAATCATGCTTTTGATGGACTCCAAGGCCATGTGAGCAGGCCATGCATGGAGTTCCTCCAGGATCCCACCACCTACTTAGAAGCTGGGGCTGTTACGGTGGATGAGGATGTTCAGGCCTCTCTGGAAAGAATCAGTAGTGGCCCTTTGAAATATTACTTCATTTTTAAAATAATGGCATTTTGAAAATTTTTCATTTGAGAGGGATACAAGTGAGATGGCTGCCTAGCTCCTGGTTTCTCCAGTGTCTGTGTCTATAAAATACCCCATTCTTCTCATAATGGTCCATCTCTTCCTCCCTGCAGAGGTAGGCAAATAATCCAATCCAATCCACCACCTACTCCTGGTCACAATGAATAGGGCAAGTGGTGATGTGACTCAAGCCTGGCCAGTCTCACTCAGAGACATTTCAAGCTGACCCTAAGGGAGAGAAGTGCTTTAGTTGAATGGTTGTGATGCTAGAGCTGCCTGTGGTGTTATTTTCCTACTGCATGAGGAAGATGAGAAACTTAGAGAATGGGGTAACATCCGAATTCCTGGTTCCAGCCTGAGGCCCCAAAGTAATCTAGGTTCCTGGAGCACTTCTTCAATTCTGTGAGATAACCCACAATATAATTGATTATATTTCTAGTAAACTCCCTTGTTGGCTTATTTCCACTTGAGTATCTATTGTTGGCAACTGACAGAAAGTTCTAACACATACAGTTCAAGGATATACCTCCAGTTTTTAAAAATATGCTTTTAAGTTTTAGTAGCACCTTCACCTAAAAGATGCGCTGGCTCAAAAACCTGTCAACTTGAGTTCACTAAAATCTCCTTGGACTTTCTGAGGCAGCTTGCTTCACAGCTTCACAAGGAATTAGGGCAGTTGGGAAACACTATGGACAACCTTAGAAATTCAGACACATTTGTATGCTGTGTTTTGATGGTTTTGAGGGATCTGGGGATGGAAGGAGGCAGAAAGATACCAAAACCAATCTCATTACTGCTCCAGAATTAACAGGATGTTGAGAGGTAGTTGAGCAGGTAAATGACAGAAGAACTGAAAAAGTAGCTTGCACTATTACCTGGCACAAACAGGGCAGGGTTCATGCTTCTGTTACTGTGTTCCAGGCCAATCTTGGAGGGGGAACTCCATTCAGCTGATCTTACCCCTCCCTGTGGTCACAACAGAAAGGGGGAATAGAGACAGATTGAACACCCAACTAAAGGACCTTGGGAAACCAGGACAAGGTCATTGTTCTGGGTTCCTTTCTGTTACTGCCAATTGGATAGGGGGCTCTAGCATGTCTTTAGGAGAGGAGAAAATGCTTTCCCTAACATTTATTGGTTGAAAGACTTATGGTCCTGTACCCTTCAGGCTTCTACATTAAATCAGTGCTGTTTAGAGAAAGGCAAGCTAGTTAGGACTTACAGAGAATGATGTTTCATGGAGTAAAACGACCTAAAAAAGTCTCCATTGAAAACCTTTCAGTTTGCTTTCTTCATAGCTTTTCCATTACTTTTTAAAACCAAAATTCTCTTCTCAGTAATAAAGCCAAAGTTTTCCTCTAAGAAGTAATGATGTCTGGAGTTACAGTAAAGGCTCTCAAGAAATATTAGTCCTTACCCTGGAACATATATAGGTTTGGGCAGATGATATTTCCACCTATGTATCTGTACATATTGTAAAAATATTCATGTGTATAGTAGAGCAACCCGGGGACCAAGCTTTGAAAATTTCGTAGCCATTTCCAAACACCTTGAGGTAATGAGTTGCTGGGCCTGGGGGGGCGGGGTTAGGACTGTAGTCCCATGAAAATCAAGGTCAATTGGCATAACATAGTCCACAAAGACAATGTTCTACTCTTACTTTGGTGAGTAGCAAATGGTATTTTAAAAGCTTGTGAATGGCCATGTAAGATGCAACTATTCATCTCTCCCCATCTGGAACAAAGAAGAGTGAAGAAAATTAAAGATGCATGGAAACAATTAGTCCAAGGGACTAGTGGACCACATGAACCTTAGCCTACACAACCCTGAGACAAGAACTAGATGGTGTTGGGCTACCACTGTGAACCACTCTGAAAGAGACCACTGTTGAAAGTCCTGGACAAAATGGGAGAAAACTGTGGAACAAAAATCAAAATCATAA